ATGAAAGACTTTGTCTAAAAAAATGAAAAATTGAGAGCTGTTGAGAAAGACATCCAACAGTGGCTTCTGACTTTCACATGTATGTATGCACATGGGTATGCATGCTTACACATGCATGTATGCACCCTCCTGCACAAATTGAGGTTGCAAATGTTCCAGGCATACACTCCTTGGTATATACCCCCAATGAATTAGAGACAGTTTCAAATAGAGAACCTTTTATTTCCAAGTATATCTTGATACTATTCCCAAACAGCCCAGATAGTTTTCAACACATGAATTGGTAAATAAAATGCAATATATTTTCAGTGGAGTTTTACTCATCCATAAAGAAGATTGAAATCATATCATTTGTAAGAAAATGAATTGAACTGAACATAATCATATTAACTGAAATAGTGAGTCTCATAAGAATAACAAGTATCACATTTTCTATCATCTAGATGTTAGTTAAAAGAAGAAAAAGAACATGAAATTGGAAGGGAGGACTCCTAGAGAGAAGAGCAGGCTGGGATGGGTATGATTTAAGTATGCATGCATGGAAATTCCCTAATAAAACCTTTACTTTTTATAGTTAATATATGTTGGTAAGATTATTGAAAGCGTACTTATTTTCATAGATTCATAAAACTATATCCCACATACCCTTTCTTGTGTGTTTCTTGGAAAAGTTTGTTCCAAGCAGCTCAGGTGTTGTAGGCTACAAATGACAGGAAATGTTCTAAAGAAACTACAGTGGCTATAAAGATATAGAGATTTTGGGGAGAGGGAATGGGACAAAAATTAGAACTAATGGTGCAAGTTGTAACATGATTTAAAAATCCAACAAACAAAACATATTACAGTATGTAATATGTGGGAGAGACAGCCAAAGTGATCCCCCATCACTTACAAGTTATATTCTATCAAAGATGGCTGCTTAATTTCCAAGCTCATGCCCACTGCCCTACACCTCCTATCTTTGCCTATCAAATTATTGACCATTCTCCATTTAAACTCTGGGTTCTGTTACTTATATTTATTTTATTCTCCTCTCAAACTTAAATAGTTACCTTTAACTAGAACCACTTCCCTATCTCAGATGCTTTTAAAATGCCATTTCTGCTCTTTGCCAACATTCTCCTCTGTTGACACATCATCCCTTGGTATCTTAGTCACCAATGACGTGTGTATTTCCTTCTCTGAGTGTCTGACCTACATATAAGCATGGCCATGTGCCATCAGCCACTTAAACTTAGCTTTCCAAAAACTGAATTTATTTTTCCCCTACTTGCTCTCAGATATGCTTCTTTATGTCCTAAGAGAACCTGGTACTTGACATAGAGAAAGGACTTGGAAATGTAGTGTTTGTTAAGCTTCTAACTGCTGTGTCCTAAATGTAGACTTCTGATTCAGGAGATCTGGGTAGAGGCTACAAATACATATTTCTAATTGCTAGTGGTGTTTCATGATGTTTTTACAATTGATCCAATAATATAGAGATAGATCACTGAGTCAGAGCATCTACTGTACTAACATGAAGACCTGAGTTTGAATCAATAGATTTGGTATAACAATCCAGGCATGTGATATAATCCCTGCCATAGGGGAGAGAGGCAGATAGACACAGAATGCTCACTGACCAGCAAGACTACCTAAAATGAGAAGCTCTCATTTAAAGAGAGACCCTGCCTAAAAGCTGTAAGTTGGAGAGCAATAGAGGTGGACACTGGACATCCTGGCACTCACAATAGTCCACACACACACACACACACACACACACACACACACACACACACGCACACTATTTTCCAGGTACATCATTTCACAATTGTTAGATAAATAATTAGTAGGCAAAGTGAATTATTAACATATGTAATATGCACTATAACATCAAACTTAACTCAATATGAGTATGCTACCATAAATATTGATAGAATGTTGGATCAATAAAATAACAAGAAATCATTCAACTGAATACCATATTAAGTTAATAATCTGAAGTACAGAAAAATGATGTTTGAGAGGTAATGTTATTATATTCAACAAAGATCTATTTTTTACAAAATAAAACATCTTATACATAATGTTCTCTTATAGCTAAGCGACAATTTACCATTCCATAAATGGGCAAAGAGCAGATAATTTCCTCACACATGCAGGTGTCACACATCAGCATTGATACTACTTTTGCATGCTGCATTCCACATGTCTGAGATGCATTACAAGGAATAAGACACATAATGTGTCATGTGCTTCAAGGTTACAGTTTCAATGTTCTGATCAGCTGGGCACCAGTGCATTATGGAATGAAAGCAGAGATGAGTAAACAAAGAAGGAAACCATTATTGAGCCAGTACTAATCACACATCTCAAAGCATACTAGTGAGTGTGAGAGTCCTCAGTCTTGGAAGCCAACCCTTTGATTATTTTCTCCTAATGTTGGATATTTTCAGGAATCAATGGACTGCATTGCATAAATTATACTGTTATTTTTGATAACTGTGGCATGCTGAGTGTCTGGCTTAACTGCCAAAGGGCCATCACTTGGCGCTAAGTTTGCATTTCCTGTAAAAAAGCTAAAATCAAAATTATCCCAACAGAATTCCAGAACCTAAACATCATGTCTTATATCCCACTTGTCTCTTTTGTTGTCCAAGGAAATTTCCACAAATAAAGATGGATGATAATCTAGCTGCCTACCTACATTACCTTTAGTAAGAGTCTGATAGAGAAGTCACTGAGACTGCTGTGCCCCAACAGCATGGGAGATGATGCAGAATGAATCCCAAATTCATTCAAGGAACCTGCTAGAGCATATAAATGTTTGAATTCTCCATTGAAATTTAATGAATATTTCCTCAGCTATTAATCAGCTATACACAATGGCAGTGAAGAGTTCATGCATAGTATCAAAATGTTATGAAATGTTGATTCAAAAGTTGGATGCAGTCACGCAGGTTTCTAGGCTTCAAACAGGCTTCTTATTTTATTAATGAGAAATGCTGTAGCTATGGAATGAAGAAATTTCTGTGTCAAAGTGGTATTTCATTTCAGTGTAATAGTTTATAAAAATGAATCTCTGGATAAACTGTAGAAAAGTTTCCTGTTATATGTAGGCAAAACTGCAGTGACTTGATACTTAAAGTTGCTCAGTTAGTGACACTTGCTATCAATCACCAATCACAGGTTCAGTAACTACTTACACAGAATAAAAAGACATAGACCTTCTAGTCAGGACTACATTATCAGAAAAAAAGATAGAAAGCTGACCCGTCCAAGTGGGAGCACACGGACACCAGTCATAAAACTGGGAAACCAGCATTGAATCAAATCAAGCATTCTGTATGTGGGTGTCAGTTAGGAGGCCTGAGACATCTATGGAACCTCTGACAGTGGAACCAATATTTATCCGCAGTGCACAAATGAACTTTGGGATCCCACTCCCCATGGACGGTTGCTCTCTCAGCCTAGATACAAGGGGGAGGGCCTAGGCCCTCCCCTAAATAATATGGCAGACTTTGGTGATCCCCTACAAAAGTCCTCACACTCCCTGAAGAGTGGAGGGGGTGGGATATGGGGTTTCAGTGGGATAGGGGGTCATGAGAGGATGGGAGGGAGAGGGAACTTTGATTGATACATAAAACAAGATTGTGTCTAAATAAAATTAAAAAAGAAAATATGCCATTTGTGTTTTATTTACTAGAAGAATTTCAGTAACATTACCCTATTTAAAAACCTAAATTTTATTGTATATTATCTTCACTACAATAAAATTTATTTACCGCTTTGGGGGCATGTATGGTAGCATATGCCATTAATCTGAGCACTTGAGAGAAAGAAGGAAGTTGATATCTCTGAGTTTGAAATAAGGCTAGTCAAATCCAGCCAGGACTGCTGTGACCCAGTCTCAATAGATAAACATAGAGACACAGAGATAGGGATAGATAGATAGATAGAATAGATAGATAGATAGATAGATAGATAGATAGATAATAGATAGATAGATAGGGATAGACAGATAGATATGGATAAATATAGATAGATGATATTGATAGATGATAGATAGATAGATAGATGATTATAAAAATATAACAGATATAGACCAAGAGATAGATAACTATAGATACATAGATATAATTTTCAAAGTATAGTATTTTTGAATATGTTCATTAGGGATAAGAGAATGTCTCCCAAACTTTAATGCATATATGACCCACAGAGGAACTATTTTTAATTCTTTTTCTCTTCTAACAGTTTCTCTCTGTGTTCTTATGCTCCTATTTGATAATCTGAATAGTTATCTTAGCAAAATTTTGCATATGTGTTTATGCAAATATAAAAGACCCTTCAGTGAAGACATCTCTAGGATTACAAGTTATCATCAGCCTTTCCCTAAGTCATTCCCTCCCTGAGCCTTATAATCAGTTAACTTTAAAATTAATAGCTTAAATGAAGTAGACTATCTCAGTTAATCTCTGCCTATGGAAATTCTATAGAGACAGTCTGCTATTTTCCCCCGACCTTTTGTCACTTAAGAATCTATGGTCTTCAAAGAGGTGTCAAGTTCTTTGCCTCTAGATTGAGATTTTAACCAGGTTCAGATCTTAGCTAGAGGTTTAAGATACAATCCTCTGTTGCTAGGAAAATTTGTGAGATTTCTCTTTCAAATGAAGAGCTGAGAGTGTCTAGAGTTCTTCCAGAACTCAACTAGTAAAGCATAGGGCCGACTCCACCAATATTTATTCTGGCCCCGTCATTTCTATTTCAGAGCTACAGTTCTAAACTCACCCGGAGCTCCTACCGTGCCTTTTCTACACATCTCATTCTTCTTAGGATATGGTCATCTACATAAAATGCTTTCTACAGTATGACACCCATAAGTACATTGGTGCTCTGGTTCCTGACTCAACAGGAATTTCCTCTTTTTGTTACAGAGTACTCAAGCGTTATTGAATATGGTGCAGCAACATATAGGATGATTTCTAAAATGGCCTAATGGTTTTTTTCTTTGTTTATAGTATAAGCAAGTGGAACAATACATGTCATTCCACAAATTACCAGCTGATATGCGTCAGAAGATACATGACTACTATGAACACCGATACCAAGGCAAGATCTTTGATGAGGAAAATATTCTTAATGAACTTAATGATCCTCTGAGAGAGGTAAGAGTTACTGTCCTTGATCATTGTGACATGTTGTTATCATTTATTTCTATCTTTTTACACAGTCTGATAGTCTTTGTTGTAACTCCAAACAATAATCAGAACTACATGTTAATAAATCACCTGTTGTATTCACTTATCTTTTTGTTTCTTCCCCAAGACATCTAATTATTTCCAAAGGAATATCAGAAAATCATCCCTTTATGACTCTTACTCCATTTAACGTATTCTTGGCTGTTGTGAGTACATTCTGCAGCTTTGTTTTCCCCGTGTTCCCAATATTCCATTATTTTATGCTGACCAACCCCATTCTCTTATTTAGGTTTTAATTTTTGACAATTTATCCTTACTTTAATACATTTTCTCTGCTCATCCTTGGCACCCTGAGCAGGAGATAACAGCATGCTTCCAGTAAATCAACTCTTGGTGTCTCAGGAAGATATTTTGCAACACCAACATGCACTCTGCCATGCACCTTCTTCTCATCATTACTCCAAACCTTCCACTTTGCTACCAGTCACTTTAATCCTAAACCCTAAGTGAATTCTATTGACTCCTTCTTCCAACAGTGCTTCAGTCTCCACCTTCTTACCACCAAATTTCTTAATAATTTTTATGTGTAATGGTTACATTGTGGTTTGATCACTGAGTATTTACCACAGTGTGTAGCCCCTGACAGCTATCAAAGCACTATTGGTAGTGAATCCTCCTCTGCACTGTTGAGAGTGCTTTATTACATTGCTAAAAAGACATAAACCCTGACTCCTCTGCTTGAGCCTTTTTCTACTGAGGCATTAAGGGAAGCATTGGGGTTTCATTTGCTGTCTCTGGACTCTTTTTTTTCATTTATCTTATTACACTTTTTTAGTCTAGTCATTTTAATTCAAATTCTTTTCATAAACTTCATTTTCTTAAAAGCTTTACGATTATGATATACCCTGGTACAATGTAAGTTATGTAATGAAGTCATTATCCTCCATCAGTAAAACACTCAACTCTTGAAGTCTTTCAGAAATGTTTAGTTATTCTTTCAGGTCACTTTGAATATAAAAATTGAGTTTCTATTTTAGGTCTTTTTTTCAGCTTGTGTTCTGCACATCCTATCTCTGATTTACATTCCTAATATGTCTCACTTGTGTGCCTTCGACTCTGCCCCACTGCCACCACCTGAAATTTATGCTTGTTAGTTTTCTCTAGGCTTGAGTCTACTTTCTGTTTATTGCTCTTAACACAACAGAGACTAGCTAATCTCTTGCAGACATGAACTATCATTTCTCTGCGTAGAAAAAAATTGATTGTGACTTTATGAATCCAAACTTTTTGCATTGCAACTCGAAATGCCTTTACAGTTTTAATTTCTGGTATCACTTTCCAAAGTCATCTGTAGCCAAGGTGGAGAAATTGCTACCTTGCAATAACAACAATGATAATAATTTCTTACTCTACACAGCATATTTTCCAGAAATGACTCTCATCTTTTGAGAATCTAGTTCAAGCAATATTTTATCACTTTCTTTTTTGATACAAGACTGAATCTAGTATTTCCTTTTCATGAACCCAAAAGCATTTTGTAATCTATATGTACTACTGTTCTATTTTTTTTGTCTACCTTTGCTTTAAAATTTCTTTAACTACAATAGTCCGTTGGTTTATATGTTAGTGAGTTTTTTTTTTGCTTTCTTAAAATTCTTTACACATTTTGTTGTGCCCAAATTCTGAACCCCAAAATGTTGTGCCCAAGTTCTGAACCCCAAAATCACCAAGAGGCCCATTTCGATGCAAAAGCAAAGAGTCTTTTATTATAGATGTTTAACGAGCTAAACCCATTAGCTTAGGCCCTTGACCCCAACCCCCCACCATAGCACACAGCTGGAGAAAAGACCCCAAGCAACCTCCATGCAGGGATCTTAAAGGGCAGCATAAGGGAAGCATCTAGGGGTATGAAACAGTCTCAGGATTGGTGTGCTTCTAAGTTTGGACAACCTGCCCTGTGTTGATTGGTCAACTGGTTGTTATGGCCCATAGGCCCTCCCAGGGTAGTCGCTATGCTCTGCTTGTCACTGTTGTGCACTGTCTGTAAAGCACATGCAGAGTCATAAAGCACAGCCCCTCCAGCTAACTTCTGATTGGCTCCTTGCCACGAGGAGGGCATCTGACCTCCTAGTGACCAGGACAAGAGCTGCAAGGTCATGCAAGCACATGGTAGCCTGTCATGGCTGCTAAAACCGGGAGGCTGGTCACTATATTTCCCCCTTCTCAAAGTACCCATGACAGGACTCAATCCAAAATCCTGCCTGTTAGGGGCTTAAAGGGGTGTTAACAGGCCCTGTCATTATCGAACAGATTTTTCTGAGGGAGTGACATTTGTATCTATTATCATACTATTCCCTATGTAAGGGAGTGTCCTTTTGACTTAGCATATCAACCAGGGAAAAGGGGGCAACATATTTTTTCTATGCTACTTCCTGCTGACTTTGGGATGCAGTTAGGGGACCCAAGAAGACTGAAATGCTAGTCAAAAGCAAAAAAGGAATTCAGGCAATGTGGTATCTATCAGGAGTACCTGGTAGGCAGACTCTGTTGAAGAGACGGGGGTGTCCCTTAGGCTGGACTGGTTTACATCTACAGAAAGTCCAGGGCTCACAGTCTTTAGGAGCAGGCTGTGGTCAACAACTGATGCTCAGATACATCTGCCTGGAGCAGAAACCCATTTAAGACATGTTTAAGCTGGGAACAGAAGTTAAAACTTATTGAGGAGTCATTTTAAGGCTTTATTTTTACATAAATGAAATGAGCTACCAAGCTGACTAAAGTCTTGTGAATTTGGCTACCTGATGTTGTCAAGCTGACAACCATTATTACCTTCAGAGATCTCAGAAGGATAAATTTTATAGTTTCTGAATCTATTAAAAAAGTTACAGGTTCCAGTCCATATACAGTCATACCCAAGTCTCTATTAGCGTTGGAGGCAGAAGTATCTAAGAACAGCATCAGTCTTCACCAGGCCTGTAAGGTGAGAGTTTTCTTTCTCTCTGTGAAAGAGGGACATGGAAAAAAGACTGACCTTGTCTTTTCTAGGCATATGGGGTGCAATCAATTTTCCAGTGTCCAGCAGCTTTGTCCACAGTCTGGGTCAGGTCCTGGCAGGCAGGTGTAGCATTTGAGCATCTTTCTCACTGTTCAGCGTCGACACAATCCAGGTGCAGCAACCAGGGTGCCTCATAATCTTCTTTGGAGAGTCTGGGTCAATATCAGGATCTGGCAGTCTGTCTGATATTATAAACTTTGAAATTAACATTTCAAATGCCATGTTCTGCAGGTCTCTGAAGCATTAGAGGTTTGTCTGCCTTAAGCCTAACTGTTGAAAATAAAAACTCTTAATATTTTAAGTTATCAGCTTTTATAAAACTAGAACTTTATACTGTCAGGTTTAGCTTTTAAAAAACAATGATTTTAAATTGAAGCTCTTTAAGTACAAACATCAACAATGAAAACATTTTAAAAATATAAATATCGCTGGGCGGTGGTGGCACACACCTTTAATCCCAGCACTCGGGAGGCAGAGGCAGGCGGATCTCTGTGAGTTTGAGGCCGGGCTGGACCGATAGCCTCCGAAACAATACAGAGAAACCCTGTCTTGTAAAAACCAATATATATATATATATATATATATATATATATATATATATATCTTATAACTTTATAAATTTAAGTATTTTAAAAAGTGTTTTTAAAAGGAAATTTAAAAATCCCTTAATGTCTTTTTTGTAATATTAAAAATCAAAATACCCATCTGGGTGACTGTTAAATTACAAAGCTTAGCATTTCTGTGTATAGAAGTATTAACCTTTTAAATCTTAATTTAAAAAAAATACTTGTTTATAGGATGGTACCTAATATCTTCCATGTGGTCACCTTTAGTCAAGATGGTGGTTCAGGTATCTCTTTTAATTTCAGCAAAATGGCTACCCACCAGCCATGTGGCCAGCTTGCCATGTGACTGACTGCAAAATGGTGGCAACCTGCACCATTTTTGTTTTAGCTCCATGCTTGTAATAAAACTTGCATTATGTCAGAAAACACAGAACTTTTTAATAAAACAAGCATTCATAATTTTTTGAGAAATAAACAGAACTTTTAAAACAGAATCAACTTAATGATCAAAATTTTTAACTTCTATTACCAATTTTTAAAATTTCGCATTTGTCGACATGAAACACCATAGTGAACAGTTTACATTTTTCCATTCGTCTTGTGGTTATGATAACCTTAAGGCCATTATATTTCTGTGGGAAGACTAGATCTGGCCAAATGGCTTACCTGCCCCAGCCCTGTGTGCTCAGGCAGAGAGCTCTGGTGGAGGGGAAGCTGGCAGGTGGCTCTTTTGCAAAGCACGCCATGTTCATGGAGCAGAGAGACCACTATCCTCACATCCTGCACATGTCACAGGCAGGCAGGTGAGGATGGAGAGAGCCTGCATGGGTCAGGCTCAGCTGTGAGGGCTGTATAGCAGTAGTTGGAGTTCAGAGCAGTTGCTTCACTGTGTGCACAGGGACAGGAGACCCTGTGGCAGCATGCTCTAACCAATGGCACATGGCATGTGTTCAAGGCAGCAAGAGAAGACCCCTGACCCGTGTCATGTACAGAGACAGAGGGATATGATGGGCCAGCGTCTAGCTAGGCTTGGCCAACTGGCCAAATCCAGCAGCCACAGGCCCAACTTAGCAGAAAAGTACCCAGATGGAGTCCAGAGCAGCAGGTGTTCCATTGGAACTCCATGATGCTAGATTCAGGACAAAGACTTAACAACCACATAGCACATTACAAACAGACTAGACATATTAGGGCCCTCTTCAGAATCTACAGAATCTTGCAAGAACCTTCAGTCAGATGGCAGACAAAATGTGGTAATTTGGTCCCCTGGCCAAGTCCCCTTTCTACAGACTGGGGGACCCTGGGCCCTTTTTTCCTTGATCCCCCTTTCTACAGACTAGAGGACC